TTTTTGTAGTAGTAGTAGTTTAGGAAAAAAGTTACTGTTCTAATGCTGAAGTGACTTTTGGGAATTCTTTGCCAGTGCTATGTTCAGGTGGTGAGGTGTAAGTTAATTGCTCTTAGCATGTGGTCTGATTTTTTGCTTTGTGGACACCTTTGAGAGTATAAGCGCATGTTTGTTTTAGAAAGTTTTTACCCTGTCTTGCAGCAGGGAAGAAAGAAGAGGGGTTTTACATAAGGAAATATGTCCTAGGAAATTAATTAGTCAATGCAAATTGCATTTGCCTTTGTACGTTACCAGGGTCTTACATCATTTTTCAAACTCTGCCATGAAATTGGGAGACATGACTGTGAAATTCCTAACTTACTGTCTTATGAAGCCAGTAGCTTATTTGTTGCCATATATATGCTCATTTACAAGTCCAGTTAGCAATTCGTTTGTTTCCTAGAACACAGAAGTTTACAAGTAATACACTAAATGTTCAAGGGGTGTAGAGAAATAATACAGAATTCAACAGCTATGGCTCCAACAGACACGATTCTGTGAGCAGTTAAAGTAGCGAAAAAGAATTCAGGGTAAGAGAAGGCAACAACAGTTAAGAATACTGAAGTAGTTTTAAAAATCAGGAAGAAATAAATGTTATATAATTTGCATTGGAATAAATAGATCTATTTAGTCCTACAAATCAGGAGCAGTGTAGAGACATCAAAATTTAAAGGGAAAAAACACACAAAACAGAATGTGAAAAAATGTATGCAGATTTGTGGATATTATCAATGAGAAGACATAGCATGTAACTTCTCCTATATCTCTACTGTCCAGCATGTATTGTTCCAAATATGATTCCCTAAAATATATACACTTTGCAGAAGCTCTAGGCCCTCACCTCAAACCTTGCCATTGGTTGTTGTATTTCAAGGTCAGCATAGTTTCCCTCACTTTACACAGTCATTATTCTTCAATAGTGGATCATATTCTTTACCAAGTATCCTATTTTTATTATCTAGAGGTAAGCAGAAAATGAAGGAATTTGCTTAAGCAGTTGGGAAGAACAAATGTTATGCATCTAGGCAAAGATTTTGAAGACATATTTGCAAGTAATATTTGTTTACCCAAAATATTTGGAAGGTAACAAAGACATTTAAATTTTCTAAAAATGGACTTGCTCTTATAGGAAAAGAATACCCTTGGGGACAAAATGTAACTCTAGCTGTATTTTCTCTTGTCACTCTTGATTCAACTTGATTATAAATATACCTGTCACTACCAGAACCAAAAAAAAAAAAAAATCCTAAACATAAAGCTTATTTTATTTGAAAAAAAGAAACTTCAACACAATGGGACACTGGCTCCTTTAGCATGAAATGACTTGAGATTTTGTGGTGATTACACACACACACACACACACTCATCAGTAAAACAATTGATGGTTTCATAAATAACACAATGGATGAAATTTATAAAAATAAATTACAATGATTTATGACAAAGTATATTTAAGTTGGTTATTAAAAAATAGAGATGAATCACTAACAAAATTTCTCTATATTTAGTGGCTGGTTATTTACCATCTAGACTCAACATTTGTCACTTTCCTGATAGAAGTTAAGAAAGAATTCTAAGCACCCAATTTGTATATTGTTTTTCTCTGTATTATGTTAAGCAAATGTTCACTGCAGTAAAATGCTTTGGAAATTAGCTTTGTCTTATTTCCAATTTAATTTAGAGAATGAATTAGAATTCTCATTTCTTTTACACATAAACCTGACAAAAATTGTAGCTTAGAGCAAAGGGTTAATGTTTGTTTAACTGCAGCTTGTTTTTAAGTACATTAAAAACTTTAATAGAATAAGCCAGTATTCACTGAGTTTTCAAAAATATTACCATATATAAATGTATAATATCCAACTTCATCCAAAAATATGATTGAGTTTATGTACTTTGTTTTTCAGGCTTATTTCAAGTAGAATAATTCTTTAATTTTCATTGTTCGGATTTCTGGGTCTTCAATTCATTCATCACTTACTCCTTTTTAAGTAAAATAAGCTTTTTTTAAAAATTGCATTGGGATTTTTTCCCAGGAAAAATACGGCTTTTAGCAATGATTTGCAATTGGCTATGCAGATATAAATTAAGGTGTGTTTATTCTGAGTTCTTATTGGAATAAGCTTCAAAATCAATGAGCTTAAGAATGAAAACAAAACTTCTGAGAGTCTCACAAAATAGCTCTATGGTCAATATACCTTACTTGATTTTTAAGCCCGATGAGTGAAGTATAGAAACAAATGGTGCTGAAATTCCATTTGCTCATTTGCAGAAGCTCATTTTGTGCTTCTGCAAATTGGAGGGCAGCAAGCCACCCTATTCTCATAGTAATAGCTTTGGCTTTGAAATTTACATACAAATTTAATAGCACATTTTTAGCCATTATGCATTGGCTCAATAGACAGGAATGTAAAGCAATGTGATGCTTTATGGGCCTCATTGTAATTCGGAAAACTTGTTTAAAAGAACTCTACTGTTTAATAAAATAGGAACAATCTAATATCTAGATTGGTGGTCCTGCATTGCCACTAGTGAGAGATGAGAGTATTAAGACAAGAATAAGGACAAGAAAAGACTTCAAGGTTGCATATTGAAAAGCTCGGAAGTCCTAATTTGGGACCACTGATTTCTTGGTGAAGAAGTAAGTATGACTACATTGCCAGTGATTTTTTTTTTTTTTAACATAGACCCAGAAACAGCAAATCTATTTCACCCTCATAGCTTAGTCTACCAGGCCTTGCTCTTGAGAAGATTTTCCATGATGTTGCTTAATTTCATCTGCACAAGATGAGACACAAACATAAAAATTCCCTGCTCATTTTAGTATCATAAAAGGCTGAGGTTATTTCTCTGTCATAAAATTGTAAATAGCATTTTTTAAGTCAAAATTACATTTAAAACAGTGAATTGTTCTACAAATATATATGTGTATATATACATATGCTTCTGAAATAAGGATATATTATATAGAGTTTTTATTTGATTTGTGGTCTGTAGTCATAGTTAAAGAGATTTGAATGCAAAACTTTATACATTAATGTATATTTCTAATGATAGTACAAATTGCCACTTTATAATAAAAAAGAAACAGATGGGAATAACAATCAAAGCAAAGTACTGTTCCTTCAGTACTTTGGTGATTTTTAATCCCCCTTGAGATGCACAGGAAATTATTTTTTTAGTTAGAAAAAGTTATCTTAAACATCTATACTTCCCAATATGGATTTCATAATAAGTCATATCAGACTGAGAATTTGTGGTTGTAGAATAGGAACAGGATGCTAGATGCTGATTTTTATTTTTCAGGATTTTTCCTGGAGCCCAAGTTAAAGATACAGTATATAAGTCTATGTTAAGTGAAGATTAATAATGTTCAGAAATGATATATTGAGCTTTAGTAACAGATGGAAGCAAAAATAAGAATATTTAACATTATGATAATAGCCCTAAAATAATGTAATAAACATTGCATCATTAAATGTTCAACTAGTTGGAAAGAATGAGCTGATGTTTCTTTGTTTTTTCTCCAAGCACAATTTAAAGACAGTGACATTCATTTTACTCAAAATTGTTCAAAAAGTCCAAAACATACTCCCATGGCTAGAATTGATATTAGCTCCAATACAAGGTTAAATGTTACAATCTGAAGAAATTGACACTGAAATGTTTAATAAACATGTTGTATGAGAAACTAAGCAACTTAATGTTTCATTTTTGCATTAAAGCACAGATTATTCAAATAATTGTTTTCTAAGCTCAGATTTGTACAATGTTTACATATCACTACCTTCCTGGAGTGAAAGACAATTAAAATCCTGAGATGCTCATGCACGTAGATGAAATACTGGCACGTTTTTTAAAAATATTAAACTTCTTTGAGAAGTCTCCCTATTTTTAGTGTGTTTATCTGATATTGCTGAAAAAGTGCTGGGTCTTCTTAAGAAAAAGATCAAAAATTGATTTATGGATGGAAAAGAAGTCCAATTGTATTAAGAGTCAAAGAAAGGTAAATATTTCTTTGTAATTATGTAGCTACTGGTACAACCTGACATTTTACTTTCAAGAATTAAGAACTAAAGTACATTCGTGTATTATTTTATTCATAACAGAACAACTAGAGGCACACTTGAGTTTAGGCATCATAAACTAAATTGCAATCTCAAAAAAAAAAAAGAAGAAAGGTAGACACGTAAATAAGTAATGTAATACCTAAAAGTATGTGCTATGATAGATGCAAAAAAGATTTCACATGCCACTGAGGATGCGACAAAGGCATCAGAGATTAGACGCAAGACAGCGATTGAAAAAGAATAGATATTTGCTGAGTGATAAGAGATGACAAAGGTATCTCAAGGAGTAAAAAATCATTTGAATCAAAGATATGGATACTTGCAAATTAGGGCTTCCTTAGGAAGAGTGTTCAGAAAAGGAGGTGGAACAAAAACTGAGTTGAGATCAATAAGTTACCGAGTTGAGTTACTCAAAGGTTTTTCAACACAGACTTTGT